AGAGTAATTTGGATTTTTGTTGCCCCATATTTTGGGGTGTTTATAGTGAAATTAATTTTGAGAATTATTTATTTTGAATTGTATTTCAATTTGAAGTCTTAATGTTTTTCTCTTGTTTGATTCTAAATGTCAGTATTGGATACCCACTTAATGGATACCCGCGCGAATATGAGGTGGGTATGAGGCCAATTTTCATTCAGCGGGGCAGGGGCGAGTTTACTATTACCCGCCCCCATGGGGCCCCATTGCCATCCCTAAACTTGATTGATGTGTTTGGCTATGTCAAATTGACGAATTTTTTTTGGACATAAAAGCAAGGAATTCAACCTAACTTGACCTAGCGGGACAACGGACTAACCCACCAATTGGAGTTAATTTCTACTAATTAATGAATATCATAAATTTGAACATTTTGTTCAAATTCAATATAATGAATGAGAAAATGTCAATGCATGAAAACTATATATAGAAAAGATAAGATTTTAAAAATGTTAAATTGTATTTTTAGTCTCTATTTTTATTAACTTGTAATTTTAGTTACTCTATTTTAAAATAAAAACATTTAGTTGATATGAGTTTGATAATACTGAATTTCGATCCCCTACCAAAATGACATTATCTATTAATTTTTAAGTTTTAACATTTATTCCTATTTAAGAGATATTATATATTTAGCAATATGAAATTTATAAATAAAAAACAAATAAAATATAAATATTTTTTTTAATAAAATAAATACCAACTACTCATAAAAATAAATATAAACGAAGATATTTTGTATGTTATTTTTGAATTTCTATTCTTATATGTTACATTATTAAATATTATGTCACTTAAATGATAATAAATTATTATACAATGTCAAAATTTAACAATTAATGAACATCAAAATGAATCATTGAAATTTCATATTTATTAAAATAGGAAACTAAATGTCTATAAAATCACATATAGAAAAAAAATAGAAGGGTCAAAAATGTAATTTAACTTTTTAAAAATCTGTTTAAAAAAATGAATTTAAATAAACACAAAATAAAATAGTTTATTTTATAAAATAAAACATTTTTTTAAAAAGAAAAGCTTAAATAGATCGTCCTAAAATGTTAACTAGGGACATACTAGTAATCTTCACATGGTAGTCTAGGTATATTGAGACTGAACGAGAGCTCCGAGTCAAGAGATAAGGGGAGAGATATATATAAAAGACACTCCGATGCTTAAGTCAGGATAAACACGAATATCTATAATAGTATTAAATCAACAATAGTTTTATCTCGTTTCATATGACTATTTATACCGACCATAATGGACTTGGATTCGGTGGGCCTTGTTCTCTGATTACCAATTAGGTAATGTGATTGCTAATGACGGATAATTCCTTAATCTCACATACTTTCTTCGTTAATCATGTAATCCACCATATAACAAAGTTTAATCATGTCTTCGTCTTGACACACTTGGCCTTCGAGTTTGTCGAGTTGATAGAGGTTATCGTTGAGGACAAGTACCGTGTTTCTCAATGATCAAGATAGTTGAGACAGCTGAAACATAATGGTACCCATATGAGTTGGTTAGATCACACATTATGGAGTCTTGGCTTCTCGGTAGTCGACGTGACCGAGTGAGTCGATAAGTGTGGAAGAACCTTAAGTATTATCAAGGTGTGATGGTTACGTATCTCGGTGACCAAGGTTTAGAGTCTCTACAGTCGATGTGACTAAGTGGACCAATATTAACATGTGGATTCAAAATATGCCTTAATGACCAAGATGACCAAATAGGTCATTGCATGATGACACATAAGATTTTACACGTGGTGTAACACATGACAATCCATTCTTTTCTAGTTTCTTAACTAATTTGTTAAATAGTGTGAATCGTTTTTTTATATTTCAATTTAAAAGAAATAATTATATTAGTTATTTTAGTTATGTCCTTTTGAATAAATTAATTAGCTTAATTTAAAATAATTTTAATTTCAATCTTCTACAAATTTGAATCAAAATATTTTTTATCAATTTGAATTTTTAAATTATGATAATTATAATGATCATAGTTTAATTAATATAATTATATTTATAAAATAAAATAAAAAAATAAATCAAGTACTGTCTTGTACTGTACTGTGTGTCTCCATGACAAATATGATACTAATACTAATACTAATAATTGATGAATTGTGTCATACTATTGTTTGTTTCTGTACCTAAGTACAATTATTTCTAATTTTCAAATGAAACAAACACACCCTTAAAAGAGATTGATAACAATGCAAACTTAGAATACATGATCTTTCCAAGTTGTTTCTCTTTGAGAAGATCCCCTTGGACTAACGTCCACATTCCGACGGAGACCCTCTTGTTTTGGAAGGAAACTCTTGGTAGAGAAATATACGTCATGATTGGTGGTGCTACGTCTCTTTCTTATCACTCCAGCTATTCGCAACCACCGACTCCATTGCACGTTTGCATTATAATACTTTTCTTTCTCATAGTATTTTTAGTTTATGATCTGGCCAATTTTTTTATATGATAAAGATCCAACATAAATTTTCTATTAAATAAATCATTCTTACCAAGAACTAAGTGTGTAATGACTATGTTACTATCTAATGTTTTTTGTTTTTTAAATTATTATTATATATTGTGACTTCAATTCCTCCCATAACCTAACTTCCAGATATTTCTCGCCTGTAATTCTCCATTTTTTTTTCTTAACTTGTCAACTTCATCAATGCGGTTAAATAAATGTTCAATGCATCAGAAAAAGAAGATGTTACATGTACTATTTAAAAAGATGTTTCCAGAGTGGCAGTGTAGAGCAAAACCGTGTCAACAAACGGGGTTTAAGTTAACCCTGCTTAGCTTAAGGTCAAAATTGATTTTTTATGATTCATGACGGTACACTCCTTTGGTGAATATAATTTGAACACAATGTAATGGTTCAAAATTAATTTTATTAAGTTCCCAATCAAATGGTACTTAAATTTCAAATCTGGATAACTAATTGTGCATCATTTCCATATCTTGGGAACAATTTTTCTCGAAAATATAATGTCAATGTCAACGTCAATATAATCCTGATCTCCTATTTTTGTACCTTTTTTACAAAGAATCTCTAGGTTAGTTGATGGAGATAAATTGTTGCTTCTGGTAGATATCATGATTATTAAAAGAAAAAATTAAGATCAATACAATGGTGAAAAAATGGTAATAATGTGCAGAATTTTAAATTTGAATTATGATATCATGGGTGTAATTTTAATGAAAGAAAAATAATTAAAAAAATACATTTTACAAAGTTAATCTTCATTATTTCAAATTTGTAGTTTTATTAATAAAAAAAGTGCATTATTAATAAAAAAAAGTGTAGTCTTTTTTATTTATTAATTAACTATACATTTAGTTATTTAAAAAAAAACTAGACATTTATAGCAAATTTAGATATACGTTATAATTTACATGCACACATCTCAATGCTCCCTTTATTGAGAAATAACAAATTGAGATTTTCAAATGAACCTGAATTTGGGTCTCCAAAACAAAAAATATAAATATGGTACAAAAGCTTTACAACACTTGTACCTCAACCAACAACCAATTAAACTAATTTCTTTTTGTAGACTTTTACACTGTGTTCGATAAAGATAAAAAGAAATAAAGAAAAAGAAAAGAAAAGGTGTAGAAAAATATAAAAGAATAAAATAAAAATAAGTTATTTGATAAGAGAAAAAAAAAGTAGAATGAAAGTCGATTATTTTTATCGTGGATAATTTTGTTTAAAAATAAATAAATAAATTATTAGTATTATTATTATTTAAATAAATAAATGTATATTTTATAAATAATTTTATTTAAACATAATAAATATTTTTATTATATTTAATTATTATAGATATATTGTTTAAAATAAATAAATAAATATAATATTCATACACCTAAAATTACACATTTAAGAGAATAAAATATCAAATTCACAAAAGAATGAAATTAAACTTACCAAATACACAAAATAACTATGAAGAACAAAAATACAATTAAAATTACCAAAAGAGTGAAAGATCAAATTTACAAAACAAAGAAATTGAAGTTCCCAAATACACAAAATAATGAAACTATGAAAACCAAAAATACAGTTAACCCTTCAAAATTTTCTCCATACTATTTGCCATTATATATTAGATCTTGTTGAACATTTTTGTCCACACGGTACAACTACTATTAGAACACTCACTAGCCACTATCTTCTCCCAAAAATTTCAAAAATCAAAATACAATATTGAGATTTTATCTCTTAGCCATCAGCACCCAAGTCAAGTGTCCAAGTCCAACCTTAAACTCTAATCTATCTCTCTGTTTCATTTCAGTGTTTCTCTCCCCTGTTATCTCTAAACTGAACGTGATTTCTGCCACTTTTGCGCGTCTGCATTTAGCATTTTCTTCCCTTCACAGCTACCACTAGAGGACTCATTACTCACATACCCTTCTGCACAGAGTCAAACCATAACCTTGTTTTTCCTCTCTAAACCCAAGAAACCACATAAAAAAACAAACTTTTTTGACACACAATTGTGCTGAATTTTGATGGGTGCAGGGGACTACTACAAGATCCTCAAGGTGAACCGAAATGCTACCGATGAGGAACTGAAGAGGGCGTATAAGAGGTTGGCCATGAAGTGGCACCCAGATAAAAGTCACCAACAGCACCAAATTACCAAAGAAGAAGCTGAAGCAAAGTTCAAGCAGGTTTCTGAGGCTTATGATGTTCTCAGCGACCCCAAGAAGCGCCAGATCTATGATTTCTATGGCCACTATCCCCTCAATTCTACGAAGGTGACTGAGAAAAGTGATGTGGGTGTTAGGGTCCCCAAGGATGAGAAAGTTGGGGTGGTTGAGACCAAGTTGGTGTGTACCCTTGAGGAGCTTTACAGAGGTTGCAAAAGGAAGTTGAGGATCTCAAGGACTGTTCCTCATGAATTTGGGTAATTTGTTTCTTCCTTTTCAACTTCTTGTATTGATTAATCCTTGCATTACCGGTGAAATTTGAATTTAGATGAGTAATTTTGTAATTTTGTTAGTTCTGCTGGTGAACATGTCTGGTTGTAGATTTGTTTCAACATTAATTGCTCTGTATAAATTAATTTTATTTTATAAAAAAAAGTTCATTTGGATGTTATTGAAATGCTAATAATTCTGAAAGTATCAGAACAAAACTGGACGATATTAATTGGGATTATACCGTATTTCAATGGATGAATTCTTGCCCAATCTTTTGGCTCATGAATCTTTTCATTGTAGAAAAAAAATCCACAGCTCAGTTTCCAAGAAATTTGACTGTATTATTGTCAAAATTATATTGATAGTGTCTTCAAAAGAGTGTGATAGAGATTGTTCCCGTTTTTTAGATTTTAATTGATATTCTGTCTTATTTGATTTATTAGCATTTTTTCTTCTCATTTGATACTGTCTCTTGTTTGATTTATTAGCCTACTTTTCTTCTATTTGGGTATTACACTTCTGGTTTGGTTGTTTTCTATTTTTGCCTTTTCAGTGATTAGGCTTGATCACACACACCTGTTCAGGCACGCATGTTTACATGCATACATGTGGAGAAAGAGGAGATCCTTTGTTATTTTTTTTATTCTTTTGGGATTTGCGTTGGCCATCTTAATGTTTATTTTAGTTATATAAAACAAAGTAAACTCTTACTTAGTAAGTTCCATAAAATATGTTGTTTTGTAAAGATTCGAGTTTCAGGTTTGTTTTCTGGTGGATTTGGCTAGGTGAATCAAAACTGTGTCAAATCTGTCCTTTTTTTTTTTTTTTTTTTTTTTTTTCCCAATTACTTAGGAACATGTACTTTGGGCTTCACAAAATACCTCTTTTGGTTTTTGCAGCAAGTTGAAGACTGTGGAAGAGGTCTTGAAAATAGACATCAAACCTGGTTGGAAGAAAGGCACAAAAATAACATTTCCAGGGAAAGGAAACCAACAAGCAGAAAACACTGCTCCTGATGATTTAATCTTTGTGGTGGATGAGAAACCACATGCATTTTTCAAAAGAGATGGAAATGATTTGGTAGTCACACAGAAAATCCTACTTCTAGAGGCTCTAGTGGGAAAGACACTGAACATGACAACCTTGGATGGAAGAGAACTCACAATTGAAGTAACAAAAGTTGTGAAACATGGTTATGTGTTGGTGGTCCCAAATGAAGGAATGCCAATTTCAAAGGAACCTGGAAAGAAAGGAAACTTGAGAATCAAGTTTGATGTTATGTTCCCATCAAGGCTTACCGCTCAACAGAAGCATGAGCTGAAAAGGATTTTGTGCAACACTCATGACTAATTTACTCTTGTTGTATGTCTGTTGGCCTTTTCCCTATTAACAAGCTTGAGAGGTCAGTTTACAGTGTAAATATCTAAATACACCTTTAGTCTTAGACATGAAAAAGTGTGCATAATACAAATAAACCAAGCATGTTACTACCATGTCTGCAGTATGGTGTAGTTTTTGAATAAAGTGTTTTCAGCTGCAAAAATGGTCTTGAATTGTGTTTGTCAGTATTATAATGCATTATTGGTTGGAAGTATTCACACTTGCATATGTTTGACCTTTTGCTTTTGCTCTTATTTAAATTTTGACTTAAATAACTTGTGGTCCATATTACTATGTTTCATTTGCATGTCTTTAATATTAATGTTTCGATCTATAAAATTGTAAAGTTTTGATATGAATATTTCTTATATTATATATATATATATATATATATATATATATATATGTATTTGAAACATTAAATATATTTTTCATTAGCTATATATGTCACTGCTTAGCAAAGACATGGACTATAATAAAATAAATATTACAAGTAAAACAAAACCAAAAAAAATATAGGAATCAAAATAATAGCAATCTTGTTGTAGAATCAAAAAGTTATTTAAGTCTTAAAATTTTATTTAAGAAAACAGATTAGTATTTATAATTTTTTATAACTCGCCTATGTTTATTTTTTTTTTTTCACACTGCTTGAAATACTTAAAAAAAAACAAATGATAAAAAAAACACATTTAATTTATATTTTCTTGAATTTTTTTTACTTTTGATGAAATGATTTGAATGATAAAGTTATTTTAATAACTAGTATTTTAGCAATATATTATGTTTATTTTGAATGAAATTTAATTTTTTTTAATACAATTAAAAGTCAAAATTCACCATGTTATTATTATTTTAAATAAAAAAAGAGAAGAAATGAATGATAACCCTCTTTTTTCATTTTTCATTTTTGATTTTTTAAAACATTTAATAATTTAATAAATAAACTATATATATTTTTTTTCAAATGTAGGTTTTGTTTAATAATAATTAAGTATAATATTTATTCATTAACAATGTTAAAATTTTTCATCAACTCAATAATGCTATGATATTTATAAAAAAAAACTTATTTTATATATTTATATATAATTTATGTTTGCATTTTCTATTTTATTTTTTATTTTTCAACTACATATATTTTTATACATGTATGTTATATTATGGAAATTAACTTCAAATAATTTTTAATAAAGTTCAGTTTAGAAAATAGAATAAAAGTAAAAAAAAAAAGATATATTCAAATATATATTCAACTATTTCATATATATGCTTAACATTGTGAATGAAAAAAAAATGATCTATTCAAAATACTTAGTGATATTCTTGATAAAGATTAATTATAAATAAAATTAGATAAATACTTTATATTAATAATATATATATATATATATATATATGAAGAGGGTTCAAACGACACCGGTGTAATCAAAGTATTCATATTTTAGTATATTTTGAAATGTATATATTATGTCAATTTTGTTTTATGAGAATGAAATATCAAATCATCTTAGATTAATATAAAATTTGACATATATGATTTAAGAGATATGAACTTTCAATCTAACGGTTGGATTTACAAAATTCACATTTAATATAAAGTTATTGAGCGGTATAACACTTCATAAAAGTTACACCGGTATCGTTTGAACCCTCCTCTATATATATATATAACTGCGCTCTCTTTTTTTTTATAATATTTTTACTCCGTGTCAGGTTGTAGAAGAGAGAAAAATATTCATCCTCTGTGCATTTATGATATAATTATAAGTTTCGGTTAAATAGGACGTGTTCTTTATTATTTGTTATATATGCTTAGTATATGAAAATGACTAGCCTCGTGATATTTCCTCATAATCTAGGGTCCATCCATTTGGTCCCATGATTTCTCTATCTATTTCTGTCTTCTATTTTATAAAATCTTTTTTTTTTTTTTTTAAAGAGCACTGTCTCTTTAGGCTAATAATTTTGATAGCAAATGATATTGATGAGCCGTGTCAAATATCACTAAATAATCTGATGGATGTGACCTTTTAATTCATATATTATATAGAGATTGGATGCATCACTACCCTTTTTATGTCGTTTTTCATGGCTTAAAATCAGCACCGACACATTACAAATAGGTCGAAATATTAAATTGTGATGGTGAGTATTAAACAATCATGACACTTGTCTTTAGTTGAAAATAATGGTAATGGTACCAACTTATTCAGATCTCATAAAAAAAAAAAAAAACAGCATCTTATGGTTTTTCTTCCTCATTAATTTCCTTGCAATGGACAAGGTAAAATATACTGAAGAGCCTTGCTGATTTTATTATTTTATAGTGCATGATTGAACACTTAATTTCTGTGTTGCTCAATCACCCTTTGTAGCTCCTCCTTTTTTACTCCCACCACTTTATCAGCAACTTTGCCTTTCTTAATCAGCATGAAAGTTGGCATTGTCTGTACCTCGAAATATTGAGATACGTCCTGTTTTCATTTATTAAATCCAAATCAGTATCCAACTTTTGAAAATTATTTGTTACCATAATAAAATAAAATAAAATAATATATATATATATATATATATATATATATATATAACGTATATTTTTTTTTATAATTAGGAACAAATTAGTTAAACTGAAAAGGAAATGAGTGATATATTACCATTAGTTCATCCACATCAATCTTGACAAACTCAACATCTTTGTATTTTGCAGCATAATCTTGGATTACTGGGTCCATGAGTTTGCAAGGCCCACACCATGAAGCAGTGAAATCAATCACCATCTGTAGCAAACAGAAATTTATCTCAGTAAAATCAATTCTTTCTTTGGGGTGAAAAGTAAAACAATTTTTTTACCAGTTCATTATATATAATGCACTAATTTAAATTGAACATGTAGTTTCCAAACTTGATCAACACGATAATATAAACCAAACTAATTAAATTAATTTAAATTTATTTAATTAATTAGTTGTTTTCAATTCATATATAAATTGAATCAATTGTAATTAGTTCAATTCTCCAATAAACTCAAACTAAATGACTTGATCAACTATATTTTCATTTTATGTTAATGTTTTTTATTTAGACTTTGGTAATTCTTTTTTCTTTTCATTTTATTCTTCCTGTGAACTTATCTAATGTTGTTATGTATCTTAATTTGGTTATTTTTATTATGTAAATTTTCTTTATCATGTTTTGGTAAATAAATTAATGTGATGTTTAAAGTAATAACTAGAGAAAAATTAAATATATCAAATAAAGAGCAAACTATTTGATTTCATCCCTTGTGAATGGTTTTCAAAATAAGAAATAATAATAATAATAAGTAGTAGTAGTAGTTCTTCAAGTACTTACAAATCCATCAAATTAATTTTTGAATGTTAGTCAAATATATCAATTGAGGAACTTCGAACTAAATCGATGGATATTCAATAATTAAATAATTATTTATATAATTTTATTATTTTTGAAAACTAAATGAGAGAATGATATTTGAGAGCTAAATTGATGGTTTATTCATTAAAAAAATAAAATAAAAAATCATTAAAGAAAAGTAAATATTTTATACCTTCTATTAATAAAAAAATTAAAAACTTATGTAAAAAAAGTGAAGAAATTTTTTAAAAACAAATGTAATTATTAATTTTATAACATGACTCAATAATCTAAACGAAATCAACATAATTTTAATTGAAATGATTTGATTCAAATTGACTAAAAATAATTTCTTCAACTCTCAAATCAAATTAACTCAATAAAATATAATAATTTTAAATTTGATTTATCCTAAATTCTAAAACTATTCAATCATATCAACAAATGGTTGATTTGAATAGAACTAAACTTAGTTATCTTAATTAATATTTCATGTTTAAATTTTATGGATAAATTAAAAAAAATAGAATGAATATCCTATTAAAAGTTGTTAATCAAATTTTTCAATAAAAATTAATCTTTAACCAACCATGATACTTCACAACAATATTATATTAAAAAAAACACAAAATAAAACCAATTCAACCTTGAATATTCCTACATACCAACTTGTTTGTTTGTTTCAGTGCATCAAAGTAAGCATTCCATTTAGCAGCGGTATGGATGGTAAGGACTTGAGATGACTCGGATGATCTACCACCATAGGCCATGCCAAAGCCAAAGCCAAAGCCAAAGTGGTTGGATCCAACCCTGGTCAATGGTTCCATCTTCTATGAATGATAAACAAAAATTGCTTATGAGCCTCTATGAATGAGAGTTAAGTCGAAAGGAGAAGAGGCTCTATGATTTGGATGATAGAAAACTTGAGATAGAGCTTCATATATAGGAGTAACAAAGTGGTGGGAAACTATTAAATGATTTCTTTTGAAACGAATCAGGTTCTTGTGTGGCAAGCTGTAAATAGGACACTCAAAGCTAGCCTAAGGGGCACAATTGAGAGCATAAGTACCTGCTAACGATCAATGGTCCCGACATCATTCTCGTCCCATGATGTTAATATGAAAGTACAGTTACCTATCAAATTCCCATTCTGGGTTATTAAGGTTTCTCCTTCCTTAGACAAGAGTGTAATCTTGTCTACAATGAGCTTCCCAAAGTACAAAGACGTGTATTTCGTATGATTCGCTAAACCGGGAAAATTTTGAAGGGAAATGAACAGATCAATTTTGAGCTGAAAAATCAAGTTAATCACCATTTTTATTTTGCTTTATTTTTTCATGAACATAGTTCACAGTTTACATAATATCTCAAAATTGACAACTAAAAACTAATATACATTTATAGGATGTGATTATCTTTAATCAAATATTATTTTAACATAAATGAAAATTAAATTTGAGAATATCAAGTCAATCTTTCATATCTTATAATAGACTCTATAATCATTGGACTAAGATTTAGTTTGAACAAAAATGTCTACTTTAATATCATATTGTGTAATTGAGTTATGTTTTAGTTTTATCACTCAAATTTTCACTTTTATACCAATTTCACCCAATCCTAGAAGAGTTACTGACTGTAACTACCGTCTATGTACGATCCATACTAGATATGATTAATTGCCCATCCTACCTCCTCTACGTTCTTAACAACCCAGTTTTATCTTACTAGAATCTTTTATTCGGTCCTCTTTCACATTACTTAGAAAAAATGAGCCATAAGCTCAGCTATGTATTTGTATTGTCAAGTTAATATACTAAATTCATATACCAAGTTGATATGTCAACCTGTTATTAGATTAATTATCTTAATCTATACATATGAATCAAATTGATATATGAACTTGGCTATATTTATATACCAACATGAAAATACCAATATACAATCTTAGATTATTTTTCTCGCATAATAATCTTGACAATTACAAAATTTAAAAAAAATTGACGAATAATAGCGTGTTTGTTTTAGCGTTTTTCAACAAATTTTCACGTCCATTCTACTTGAAACGCGGAAGTAAAAACTATTTACTTTCGATTTGACGTGAAAAATCACGTTATTGACGCGGAAGCAAACACACTATAAGATTAATCGACAAAAAGGTACGTAATATATAATAAGAAAGAGGGAATAAAATAATCTAAATTAATTTGATCATCAAAATCTTTTTTTACAAGCATCTCCGCTAATTGGAAAAAAAAATAGAATTTACTCCAACATCTACACACAAAAAAGGAAAAAAGGATCTTATCGGATAACTACTTCACTTAAGTTTGTACCAATAACAACAACTTTAGTTTTAACTTTATAAAATATCATCCTTTTCTTTGTTTTTTTTCCATTAAGTCTTCGGATTGAAACTTGAATTTAATTGAAATATATTAATAGTGAAAGTTTTTATATCATTGGTATATGTATTCTGAAAGCAATTTTCAGTATTCATAGACACTCACAGCCACCGGTATAAGTTTTAAAAATTGAAATTTAACGAAACCCAACACAGTGATGACGTACAACACAGTGTTGACATTTCCAAACAAAATTTAATGAAATTCAATGGAGTCGCATACTACGTACAATGTAAACCAAAGCATAATATCATATATGTTGCTGTACCTTTCTGATGGGTACACTAAGTCTTCTAGTAGTCCAAAGGTCGAACGAGAATTCCGATACGATACGCTAGTGAAAAGGTTGGTATCTGCAAAAAGCACTCCAACGCTCAAGTTAGGACAAACACGAATATCTAGGGTAATTAATGAACAATGACGTTACCCAGGGACGGAGCCAGGATTTCAATACTGGGGGGCCGAGAATTGGAATGATCAAATGAGGCGCTACATTTTTAAAAAAAAAAAAAAATTCCAAAGTGATACCACATAGCAGGCCGTACCAGAAGTCCAAAAGTTGAATAAAAAAATAAATTTGGGTTATTCATTTAATTATACATATGAGTTTATATTAAAAATAGGGGGTGCCATATAGTAATATATATGTATATAAAAAAAAATTAAAATTGTTGGGGGGGCCGTGGCACCCGTAGGTCCCCCCTTGGCTCCGTCCTTGACGTTACCTTTTGACCTGAGCTATTTATATTGACAATCGTGGGCCCTGGACCTTATGGATCCTATAAAAACTTACCGTATCAGGTAATACTTCTTAATCAGCTAATTAATCTTTAATGGTTTATTAAAGATAACTAATAGAGATAAGCCGAACCAGGTGACCGATTGGCAATCGGCCACCTGATTCGGTCCCTTGGTAACCGATAAGAGGGTGGCTAAACGCCCCTACCCGTACAGTTGCTATTCATGAAACAATGGGAGTGCACCTGAGAGATCCACAATCTCTTAATTGTTTATTTATATATTTTATAAAAATCTCAGTGTCATATATATATATATATATATATATATACCTTGAAATTAACGAAATGTTTAAATATGTGGACAATGAGTGCACCTTACATGCATAGAAGGAAATTTACATTATCATGTATTTTTTTTAAAAAAATCCATCTCTTTCATGGAAACTTAGTATTACGCAGTTTATTTTAAGAGTTCAAAATTATTATTTTTAATAAATAATATGAAGGTGTAAAGATAGAATTTAGAATATAATAAACATGATGTGAATAAATAGAAATTAATTATAAAGGTATATTTGATAATAAAATAAATACAAAAGGAAGGACATATTTAGTAAATAGGGAATGTAAATAGCAAAAGACAATAGTGAATTAGGTCATTGAAGGTTAAAACATTCTAGAAACATATGACTAAACTATATTCGTTTATATTTTTTTTTTTTTTGTTAGATATTGATATGTGTCTGTCGCTAGGTTCAATTTCTAGCTGTCAGAATCCGGATCTAAGATTAAATTTGGAGAAGATGTTGGATTTTTTTAGCAAGATTAGTAAAGAGGATGTCTTTGGGAGAGGAAACTTGTCATCTCTCAAGAATGAAGCTTATTTTTGGGGAACCTTTGAGACATATCCTCCAAAGCAGAGTTACAGGATACAATTAATTAACCATCTCAAAGAAGTGAAGATCCAAAAGGGGAGCCAAGACGAAGCCAGCTCATCACACAGTCGTCTAATCCCTTCTCAGACAAGTCATCAAAGAATCAATGCTTTCATGAGCAGAACTGAATATTACGTACCCGATGAACAGTTTCAGACAGCTAATGACCTAGGAGAAAACAACGAAGATCTCTACTATGCTGAATTGATGAATAGAATAGAATATTTCCTTTACATTGATTGTTTTTAATCTGTAATTTTCTCTTGAATTTTAGCATTAAAAAAAATAGAGACATGGACTATTAATATTATTTAAACTATAAAATTCGTCCTTGTTAAAACAGGGCACATCAAATTATGTGAGCATGATTATATCGCCGCAGATAGCAAGCAGGGAAGGTTGAGATTGAAGTCTTGTAGAATCTGAACTTTGATGTCATATGAATTCGTCATATAGTTTCTGTTTAAACCAAATTTTTGAGCTGGTACACAATTGGATTCAGCTCAAAGGGGCATCTACTTTATGACAACGGTCTCAGTTTCATGTTGTAAAAGAATACAAACAGAAACATATAACAAGTACAAAAAGAAAAAGAAAAAATATGCATATATATACATGGTCCCAAATATTTGTATCTAGGCAACTTCAGCAAACAAAGGAATCAGCCAGCATTAGCAATGTGGTGTCATGTATGGAATAAAATGTTTCCATCAATTTGTATATAGTATACGTAGATTATGGGTGAAGACAAAGGCCAAAGCAATTTGCCCTTGGATAATGCACTTGCACACAACATTATTGGTTTGAAGTCCTGAATTGACTCCCACCATGGTTGCTTGTTTTTAACGTGGATTTTTAATTATGTCTTCCTAGAACTTTGTTGTAATTTTTAGTTTTCTTTTTCATTAACTAATAAGATACCCAATAAGATAACCGTGTATTTAGGCCAGCCCAAACATAAAGTTAGACAACCTTGTTTTAGGTTCTCAAAGGTAATTTGTTCCTTTCTGAAAGACTTTATTTATTTACTTAAAAATTGACTGGTCATTAATTTTAACCTAATAAATTATCTTTTAACATATAAATAGATTATGTATTAATATATCATTTCTCACCTATTTATAATTAAAGATAAAATATATTTTTATCCCTTATCATATTAAAAACAATATTTTTGTCTTTTATCTTTTAAAAAAGATTCATTTTAATCCTTTAACATTTAAATTTGAGTTAATGTTATCCTTTTAAAACAATGTTTTTTTTTTAAATTTTGACTCGTTTTTTTACTAACTAATTCAAAATGTGAAATTTTTCTCATGAAATTTATTTACATGAAAGTTATAAAATTAAATTAATCTTTGAACCAAAAAGGACCATAAACTATTATGGAAAATTAAGCACAATGAAGATCAAAATGACAGATACAAACACAAATATAAATAATAAATATATGGATTTAACATGGTTGAACACTTCTTGTCAATGTCCTCAACAACAACTATTTAATCTCAAATCACATTACAAGTTTTCTAAACAAACTTGAGAAACTCTTTTCATTATAAAACCCCCCTTTCACATAGGGTGATGATGGAATCATGCTTTGGAGTGCAAGAGGTGACATCGAATATTCAATGAATTTTTTTAAAAAAATTAAATTAAAAAATATATTTTTTAAAGTAAATAGATTTTTTAACATTAACTAAATTGATATATTGTAAAAATTAGTTAAATTAATAGATTTGCAATATAGTTCCTCTTGATTTCTTTTCTTAATCTACTTGATCATTTTAAATGTACTATAATGTTTTAAAATGACACTCAATATTTTGCAAT